TTATAACAAAACCTTTCGCCGCAATGACTAATGATTTACTGAAAGGATCCAAAAGACCCCAAAAGAGTCCGACAGTTGTCGACAATAATGGAGACAAATACGACTCAAACGCTCTGAAGATTGATATATTAACTGATAATAAGTCTATTGATGTCAACAATAATAGCAATGATTTTGTAAAAGACAACAACAGTTACACAAACTCGGCGTTTGTTAATGAAATGCATTTAAATGAATTCAATAAAGATAAACATTAAAATATGTAATTTATAAATTCATTGAAACAAATATCAAAATAAAATATTGCACCAAAGGTTCAAAATATAATCTTTTTTTCATATTTTTAATTAATAAATAGACTATTTATAAGTGTTATAGTAGTGATTGAAACATTTACTGATAAATGAATATTCACAGATATTATAATATTTTTATAAATTAAGTAAATTATAAAACTTAAATAATTTCATTATTTTTATTGCCTCTAATGTCAATTTATTTTTAAAAACTATCTTTAGCATCATTATTATATTATTACTTTTCATTTTATTATACCTGATAAAAAATTAAAACATTTTATTGCCATATATATTTAGTATACTATACATGTATGCATTTAATTGAGCATATAATAACATATTAATTAAGCATATAATAACATATTAATTAAGCATATAATAACATATTAATTAAGCATATAATAACATATTAATTATATTTATTTAAAATTATTAGTATATTATAGTATATTATATTTATGTGTGACGGGCAAGCTTTTCCAAATGTAGTCATCCTATATCACCAATACCTCATAGTTTTATTTTGACCCTTTACCTAGTGGAGTTAACTTGAAAATCTCTGCCCCTTGCCCATCATTGGTTATATATCATTTTGCTTTTTTGTTTGTTTTATCACTTTTATAACTTTGCAAACAATTTGAAAACAAATTATTATATGGTTTCTCAAAGGTTATGTGAATAAGAAAACCAGCGATCAGTGATAAAACTACATAACCAATTAAATTGACAACCTATACAAAATATAAGAGGTATGTGAAAATAAAAATCAATTTTAATACAAGATAAATATATACCACAAACAAATTGAGAACTTTGTTAACGTGGACTCTTTCGGTGATTAATTGAAACCTAATGAACTCGATGTTAACCATGGTGGCCCCAAAACATAACTTACTCAATCGTTTACTCGATAAGTATGTGAATATTTTAAACATTCTGCCAGGACCTAATTTGAAAGTCATATACAATAATATAAATACAATTACAGTATATTTTATGTTGGTAATGTATTGAACCTTTATTTCCTTTTGTCAGGCATAGAGTTATCCAGCAAATACCGATAGTGTAAAAAAATCTCATAAATGATGAGTAAAATATAAGTAAACCCATTGAATCGTACATATTTAAGCCATTTATCAGATATGTTGAGAAAATACACGAAATTGTTAACAATGACAGTCCAATTGATATTATATTTTGTACAAACTATAAAAATAAACATTTCACTTTAATTACAAATAATCTATTTATAAGAGCAATTAAATACATACATCACTTAAATTAATTTTATTAATTTTGGTAATTATGTACCCGGTCATTATTCCCATGAAGTATTCAGTCAAATGAGAATAAGTGGAGCTATGGTTAATATGGGCTTTATATTCCTCTATAGCTCTGTCAATATATAAATAACATTTTAAAAATATTCTTATAATAGAAATATAGTCAATTATTTTTTTTCTAAAATGTAAACACTAAAACTTTTGAACCAAACTCGCCAGGATACTTACATGCCTTCATTGATAGTACGTATTATAGGAGGAGCTATATTATAATAAGCGGTGAGCACACCGGGTATTATCATTCCCGTAACCATCCAACACAAAGAATAGATGAGACCATAATTTAATTTGGTTGCCAATAGTAGCATTGCGAAATATGCTAGGACATAGAGTTGCATCTCAGCCGACATAAACCAGGTCGATGATGCACACTTTGCATTAAATTATTATACCATACATTTTAGTAATTATTTGTAAATACTTAATTTTTAAATGTAAATAAATATCATAAATGTCAAATTAATAAATAAAATTCGGTAAATTGATTAAATATCGAATACTTACTGATTCAGGAAATGGGACCCAATTACTGATAAAAATGAGATTTTTCCACAGATTTCTGTCACAGTTTGCTATTTGTTCGCTATAATAGTACTTATATGCCGGCCCTGAGCCCAGGTATGCAAAGAGTATGTTAAAGGCAATTGTAATCAGATAGACAGGAACAACACTTTAATAATCAGAAAAAGTACAATAATTGATTATTTAATTCTTTATTTTAATAAAAGCAAAAGTCTTACCGAAAGAGTCGACCAAACATATAGAGCCCAAAGGGAACTCCCCGTCCGCTCTCGAAATATTTCAGACCAGAAATAGCTGTCAGAGTTCCGCTATTTTAATAAAAAATATTAAATTATTTTTAATAACATTTAAGTGCTATTATATTAAACCTCATGTAAAATATAAGTTCAATAAAAACGGCTGAATTCAT